ATAATTTTGTGGACGCGCGCGATGACAAATGTGAAGGGGGGGGTTGAAACCGACGTGGAGCAAAGTAGAATTGGCATGACAAAATTAATTACTTTTCCCTCCTCTCTCCTTTTCCTCTTTCTTTTTGAACTTTCTCTATCTCTTTCTCTCTTTCTCTGATACCAGATCCATTGGTAATTTTCTTTATTTAATCTCTTTCTACTCGCGTATTTTCTAATTTCTTTTTTTTTTTTTTTGGAATTGGGGTAGTTCTTGATTGACCGATTGTTTTGTTCCACGTCGTATTGGGTCGTAGAAGCGCAATCTGCACTTGTTGTATACATTTTTATGAGATACTTTGAATCGGTTTGATTGTTAATTCATAATATTTTTTTCAACAGATACGAGAAAGAAACGAAAGGACGAATTATATTTACGAATTTTTCAAGTTTTTCTCGAAAATTTTTAATATAATTTCGAAAGATTCGTGAAAATTTTGCTAATTTTTCACATCGAAGAGATTTTTTTTTTTTTCCGTCCTACGTCGAGGGTTAACAATATTCTCGATGGCACGAAAGGAATATTTCTCTCTTTCGAGAAACGATCGTAAAAGGAGGGGGAGGGCAAGAAGAGGAAGAGGAAGAGAGAAAAAAAAAAACGTAGGTCCCCCGAGCAGAAAGCAAACGTAATCTACCGATGTCTGTCGAATACAAAGTAGCGTTGAACATAATACTTAGAATGCAATCTATCGTGCTACATACATATAAATCGCTGTGATCACTGAGTCGTTGAAATTCGTAACGATCCTCCTTCTTTCCTCTCTTCTCGTCCTCCTCCTCCTCCTCCTCCTCCTCCTCCTCCATTTTCCACCGCTTCGTCCTCGTTTCCCCGTCCATTCCACCTTTTGCCTCCCTCCCTCTTCCCCTACCCCCGAAACTGTATTCCTGTCACGAATGTGGAACGAAATAGAATTGTTGAAGCAACGATAAGATGAATGGAAAGGGGAGGGAGAGAGAAAAAGAGAAAGAGAAAAAGAGAGAGAGAGATAAAAAAGGAGGGATGAAAACGAGGACAGGTATCTCTTTTATCAGTCTGAATTAACAGTTGGATGAATTGAATTACGTGAAATTTTATTATATTCTCGCAGGAAATTTTGCCGAGAAAAATTTCTTTAAAAATAAAATCTCTCCTCTTTATGAACGATAATGGAACGCCATGAGGAGGATTATCGGCCTCGAGGAGAAATATATTTTTAATTTCGTTGGATCGAATGGAAGAAAAAAAAAAGGAGGTGGAGGAGGAGGAGGAGGAAGAAAACGAGTATATCTTTGTTCGGTGGGAATATGGAGACCATTATAAAAATTTACAACCGTGCGTGTTTCCGTTTGTATCTCAATTTCGTTTCGTTTTTTCCAACACGGTCCATTTACCGTGCCCATTCCCGGCAAATAAAATACAAATAAACTACTTGGAAGCTGGATGGAAAGACATCTGTGCAAGAAAATGAAAACAAGCACGAATTGAATAACGTTAAAGAAGAGGGAGAGATGAAGAAGAAGAAGAAGAAGAAGAAAAAGGAGAAGAAGAAAAAGAAGAAGAAGCAGAAGAAGAAGAAGAAGAAGAAGAAGAAAAGAGAAGGATGTTCTCATAACTCTTTTTAAGCGCAAAACTCATCCTGGATGGAAAATTATCTTTCATCTCAACGAGAAGAATAAGTTTTGTGTAAAAGTGATAAAATAAAAATGTATGTAATAAATATAATAAATAAAATTCGTTTGAAAAAAATTTTGTAAAAATTTCTTATACATTGTATTGTATGTCTTATGTATATCCCATGCCTTTATCAGTTGGAAATAGTTTGGAATATCTCGTTTGTTTTTGAAGATATTAAAAAATTTTTTAGACAAAAGTTGAATGGTTTTGAGGTAGACGTAGCATAATGTAATTAATTTTTTTATAAGTGAATGCGTAGTAATCATACGAAGGTCGATTCCATTTTATTGAATAGAATCTTGTATTTTTTAATACACGTATAGATGTAACGCATTATTTTTTATACAAAAGTATTGAAGTACTTGTAGCAAAAGATTATTAGTTTAGCAGATATTTGAAAAAATTTAATTATCTCCGAAACTAATAAATTTTCCTTATAAGTGGTTCCATACTTTTGTATAGAGAATCCAAAACTGCATCTAATAATATGTTAAAAAATATATGATTCTATTTAAAAAAATAACGTTGACTTTCATAACTTTTTTACGCATCTATTTATAAAAAAACTAATAAAGTCAGATTATGTCCCATTTGAAACTATTTAACTTTTATCCGAAACATTTTTTAATATTATTAAGAATAAAAGAGATATTCCAGATAATAGAGTTATGTTCCCTATATATTCCTCGATCCTTTAGAATTAAAAAAATTATTAAAAAACACACAATATTGTAAAAAATGACGAGACCTATTGAAAAATAGGTACATGAATAGTAAGTATCTCTAGATTTAAGTAAACTGTAAAAAAAATGATTTAAAATGATAAAAAATAAGGCAAACGTAAAAGGTAAGTATATAAGGTAAGTATATACGGTAAGTATAAAAAAACTTCCTTCTAACTTATGCTCTCCTAATAAAAAATCACAATTTTTAACAAAAATTTCGTCATTTCTAGGAATTGGCAAAATTCTCGGAATTTTTTCAAGCGACCTCCTATAAACTTATGTTCTCCTAATACAAAGTCGAAATTTGGGCAAAAATTTCTTCCATTCCAAAAATTTTGAAAATTCCAGGAATTTGACGTCATTTCTAGGAATTGGCAAAATTCTCGGAATTTTTTCAAGCGACCTCCTATAATCTTATGTTCTCCTAATACAAAGTCGAAAGTGGGGCAAAAATGTCTTCCGTTTGAAAAATTTCGAAAATTCCAGGAATTTGACGTCATTTCTAGGAAGTGGCAAAATGCTCGGAATTTCTTCAAGCGACCTCCTATAAACTTATGTTCTCCTACTACAAAGTCGAAATTTGGGCAACAATTTCTTCCGTTTGAAAAAT